TGTCACCACCCCTGCACACCGCGAGAGAAGGAAAATAGATTGGCACCTAACTTTCTGTCTTCTGCACCACCTGTAATAGGCGGGACACACGATGAATTCTGAAATACCCTGCGAAAGGACCTGTAAAAATTGGAATCCCAAGACGTGTTCTCCCTGGGTGGCCTTAGGCAAATTACCCAGCCTGCTCAATACTCCATGTAATCAGTGGAAGAGATAATAACACCATTGTTCTTTGCAAAGTCATTGTATGGAAACAATGAAAGGAGTACACAAAAATAATGTAATTGCTGGAGTCCTATTTAGGTACAGGTTAATTTCAGTTATTCTAGTGATATTCTTAGTTACTAAATATGTGACTGTGGTTAATAAATATAAGTGTAGTTAATAAGTATATGACTGAGCAGGATTTATTCATGACACGACCTGTGGAGATAGAATTCCTAAATGCATTGATGAGGTTTATAGATTTAAAAGTAGGTTATTCAAGTGACAAGAGACCACCTGCAGCGACCATCCCCTGGAGATCCTTCAAGGGGTGAGAGCAAAGCTGTTGACTGCATCTGAGCTCAGAACCTGACTCAAGGCTCCCTGGGACAGTAATTACAGCAAAGGGAAAGGCTAGGTGTTAGCTATTATTATGTCAGATTCAAAGAACAAACATGCCTGCTTCTCTTCATTCTTTTAAATAAAGCTATCCCTCCGAGTCCTGAATTATCTGGATAATAACCACTTTTCTGCAAATCTTATGACTAGAGAGATGACTGCTGTATATATTAGAAGCGCATCTGAACTGGGAAGAAATTTTATAATTTAATTTTATGATTAGCTGTTCAGATGACTACAAAGAAGTTGCAGAAAATAATTAATGTAGGTTTCTTAAATTATCCAACAATGTAAAGCACAAGAAAACTGGAATTTTTTTGTTTTGCATAGTGAGGCATGCCCAGGACAGCCAAAGAAGTAAATGAGCAGATGGGACATTGGTGGCTAAGAGTGCCTTTACAGTTTTAGAAAGCTTGTGTCAGGGCCGGCACTGTGACATAATGGGTAAAGCCACTGCCTGCAGTGCTGGCATCCCATATGGGCACCGATTCAAGTCCTGGCTGCTCTACTTCTTATCCAGCTCTCTGCTATGGCCTGGAAAAGCAGTAGAAGATGGCCCAAGTCCTTGGGCCCCTGCACCCATGTGGGAGACCTGGAAGAAGCTCCTGGCTCCTGGCTTCAGATCAGCGCAGCTCCAGCCTTTGCAACCAACTGGGGAGTGAACCAGTGGATGGAAGACCTCTCTACCTCTCCTCTCTTTGTAACCCTGATTTTCATATAAATAAATCTTAAAAAAAAAAACAGTTGGCCAGCGCCGCGGCTCACTAGGCTAATCCTCCGCCTGTGGCGCCGGCACACGGGGTTCTAGTCCCGGTCGGGGCACCGGATTCTGTCCCGGTTGCTCCTCTTACAGGCCAGCTCTCTGCTATGGCCCGGGAGTGCAGTGGAGGATGGCCCAAGTGCTTGGGCCCTGCACCCCATGGGAGACCAGGAGAAGCACCTGGCTCCCGGCTTCGGATCAGCGTGATGCGCCGGCCGTAGCGAGCCGGCCGCGGCAGCCATTGGAGGGTGAACCAACGGCAAAGGAAGACCTTTCTCTCTGTCTCTCTCTCTCACTGTCCACTCTGCCTGTCAAAAAAATAAATAAATAAATAAAAATGAAAAAAGAAAAAAAAAACATTGCTATTAAAAAAAGTTTGTCTCATTAATTTGTGTAGCATTTATTTATTTATGTGTTTATGTATTTATTTAATACTTAATTATATTTCCCTGCTTTCAGTAAGCTTTTAAGGTTTCTATCCTCTCAGTCATCAATCATTGCTAAAACAATATTTTTAAAATTTAGAAACATAAGAAGAAAGGCTTAGAGTCCATTGCTATAGTCAAGAATTTTATTTCTTTGTCATTAAAAATAACCTGTAATGTCAATTGGAATAGTTTTTATCATGGCCAAGAAAAGCAAGTATTTCCTGAATTTGCAAAATTCAACTCATTTTGCAGAGTAACACAGTTTAGTTTTCCTTGGGTTGTGTTTCACATTGATCTGTGGTGGCTTGGTACTAACATTGGCAATAGTAACCTTTGTAGCAGACGCAGTACTGATTGCTAGCTAGCATTGTTTTGTTCATTGTGGTTGCAGCAACTGCAGTAGTCCCAGTAATCATAATTTATTTTAATGTTATAATAATGGAAGACTCAAGAAGTATACAGAGCACTCTTAGTTCCATTCCTGGTTCTATCTTCTGATTTTAGGTTCCTGCTAATGCAGACTCTGGGAGGCAGCAGGGCTGGCTCCAGTAGTTGAGTTCCTGCTGCCTCTTTGGGAGGATGGAGTCCCTGGCTCCTGGCTTCATCCTGACCCAGCCCTAGCCATTGCAAGTGTTTGGGGAGTGAACCAACAAGTGAGATCTCTGTCTCTCTGTCTCTCTATGTCTCTGTTCCTATCACTGTTTCTCTGTCAAATAAATAAATAAAAATTTTAAAAGTACAACTGTGGCTATAGCTTTTGCCTAATAGCAAATTCTTCTGTATTTTTACATCATTATTTGTGAGCAGTTTGAAATTTCACCTTTGAAACTTGGGAAAGCCAGCACCACGGCTCAATAGGCTAATCCTCCACCTTGTGGTTCTAGTCCCGGTCAGGGCGCTGGATTCTGTCCCGGTTGCCCCTCTTCCAGGCCAGCTTTCTGCTGTGGCCAGGGAGTGCAGTGGAGGATGGCCCAAGTACTTGGGCCCTGCACCCCATGGGAGACCAGGAGAAGCACCTGGCTCCTGGCTTCGGATCAGCGTGGTGCGCCGGCCGCGGTGGCCATTGGAGGGTGAACCAACGGCAAAAGGAAGACCTTTCTCTCTGTCTCTCTCTCTCACTGTCCACTCTGCCTGTCAAAAAAAGAAACTTGGGAAATGGTAGGTCTGGAAAATATTTTTTGATTAATGAATTCAGTAGATAATGGTTCCTGTAGCCTGAAAACTGAGTTTTTGCTTCCTTTTGTTTTGCCAAATCAATGTAAGGAACACTGAGGGACAAGTATATGTAGTAATCATTAAGTACTAACAGTAAGAATTAAGTGTCTGAAATCGTTGAGTCGATGTTCATGTATTTTTCAACTCTGTATTTCTAGGAATTGCTGCTGCTTTTGTTACAAAATTGTTTTGGAGAATGAATTTTGCATTGGTTTAAAATTTTCTTTAGGCCTTAAATTATTGCTCTCTGAACTCTATGCATTTTCTTCTGTTAGTATATGGAGAACTGTTAGTGAGAGAACTGCCTGGAGCTACTGACTTTGTCTGAAAAAACACTTTCAGAGCATAAATCATTTCCTTAAAAGAGCTGAAGGATAGAACTTCTGTATCTACTTTACTGATGAAATTATAAATTCATGCTGGTGGAGATAAGAGAAAAAATGCATGATAGATCCTGAAAAACAGTTACTCTGCATGTTTATCATTTTAAGGTTATGGTATTGGACGTTGAGCTTTAACAGTGTGATTCTGAAGCTTAGAGAGAAATATAATCAATTATCATATTACCTTAATGGCTTTCAGTTTCTGTTTCAGTGTGTAGCTTTTAAAAAGATTTTTTTTAATCTTGCATATTTTATTTTATTCTCGTGAAAACAGAAAAAAATCTATTGTACCCTCAGTTTGAATTTCATTTTGTAATATTGTATGTGTATGTGGATTTGGGGTATTTATCCTTCTTTTTTAAAGGTTTATTTTTATTTATTTGAAAGACAGAGTTATAGAGAGAGGTAGAGACAGAGCGAGAGTCTTCCATCCGCTGGTTCACTCCCCAGTTGGCCACAATGGCAGGAGCTGTGCCAATCCAAAGCCAGGATCCAGGAGCTTCTTCCCGGTCTCCTATACTGGTGCAGGGTCCCAAGGACTTGGGCCATCTTATACTGCTATCCCAGGCCATAGCAGAGAGCTGGATAAGAAGTGGAGCAGCCGGGTCTTGAACTGGCATCCATATGGGATGCGGGCACTTCAGGCCAGGGCCTTAACCCGCTGTGCCACAGCGCCAGCCCCTGGGTATTTATTCTTAATGATGCATTACTTAGATTGGTATTAAAATCAGTTAGTATTCTCTGAGCTGACTTTCCTTTCAGGCAGCTAGAGACTTTGCAGGCAAGAAGCCAGCATAGGATTAACAATTCATGATGGGTAATCTACAGAGTAAATAAACCTGGTGTGAATAATTGAGAGTGGGTTAAAGTTGCAACATAGGAGCTATTGAAAGTTAATTCAGAGCCACTGGACATCTTCCATAGTAAATTCTCTGTCATCATCCAACTGCTAGAACAGACTGGCAGAGGTAACTTCCTACACAGAGGCATGTGTGCGTTGCTAATGTGCTTTACCACCTCACCAGCAACCATAGAGACTGTCTGTCTAGTAGGGTGCTAGTACATAAAAGCTTCAGCAAACTGAGAAATGTGAAAGCTTTGCCAGAAATGTCTACTCCTCATTCAGGGTCCAAGAAAGAAAGGATCCAGACATTTTCTGCTCCTTAGCATGTGCAGTTTCTCAGGTATCCTTTGCTGAGATTGCCCTTTAAGAAAAGCCAAATAAACAGGATGAAAATGAAGTCACGTGTAACCAGGATTTGCGTGTTAGGTGGCGTTACAATAATAATGAATCATTAATAACAAGTTCAATATTTGGATTACTTGTAATACTATATGAGCATTATTTTCAACCCAGTACTCTCTTCCAGATGATAGCTTCTCCAAACTGTACTTATTAGATACGGGTTTACCAGTCTTCAGTACACTGCCTGATCATGTGAGGATCTGTTGCTTGACCTAGACCCAGTGTTGTTAATCAGATTTTCAGACGTGTTTCTTTTTTATAGCTACTATATCTTATTTTCAAAATATAACTGCAGTTGAGTTAGAAATATTTTAATTATAATTTTAACTATTTTTTCTTATATATTTCTATTTGTCTAACTACAGGTTTCATATACACTGGAGAAGTTGTACATCGAATGCTAACAGCCACACAGTATATAGCACCTTTAATGGCAAATTTCGATCCCAGTGTGTCCAGAAATTCAACAGTCAGGTATTTTGATAATGGTAGGTATTGATTGGTTGTATTTTGCTGAATGTATACTTTTAAGCATCAGGTTCACCTTATGTCTTGTAAATGTGTGTGGTTTTTGTAAGCAACTGCTTGATGGCAAATGCTCTGAGGTGACCAATGATGTGCAGTCAGTTACCTTAGGACATGGAGTAAGGGAGAGTTCAAATGTCAGTCACTTATTCATGCATTGTTTTCACTCAGCAAGTGTTTATTAATACCTCTTATTATATACTATAATAATAAATAATGTACAAATACATCAAACAAAGCAAATATATTTATCGGATGATTTTTACAAAAGTCTTTTCCATATTGAAGATCCAAATAAGAATAATTTTGCCAATTCTGATCTTTAAGTAGAGGCAAGTGACATAATATATTGATATTATACTTTCAAAACATGAACTCTGTGCATCCATAAGATGACGCATCCTTTCTTAAAAATACATTTGGGGCATAGGGCAGACATTGTGGCACAGCAGGTTAAACCAGCACTTGGGAAACATTCATCCCATTTCAGAATGCCTGGTTCGAGTCCTAACTACTTTGGATCTGCTTTGGATCTGGATTCCTACTAATACATTTGGGAGGCAGTAGATGATGGCCCAAGTACTTGAGTTTCTGCCTCCCATGTGGGAGACCCCGATCCAATTCTTGGCTCTTGACTTCAGGTTGGCGTAGCCTGAAATGTTGTAGATTTTCCAATGGATGGAAAAATCTGTTCCCCACTCTCTGTCACTGTAACTTTCAAATAAATAAATGTCATGTATATGTATGTGTGTGTGTGTATTAATGTATGTCATATGTAATACATAGTGGGTAATTAAAGTACACATGAGAAAATTAAATTTCCTAGATTTTAAAATATGAAATAGAGATTGTTAAGCTTTATCAAATATACTGACAGTAATGTATCCTTCCTATTTCTTTTGAGTACATATAAAATAGAGAAAACCTAGAATGTATCATTTAGTACTATTAAACTCTAAAGAAGAAATTCAGAGTCTTAAATAAATTTCATCTCTGTGTCTTATTTAAAGCTGTAACGGGTACAGAAAAGAAATTATGAAGAAGAGTTTGCTTTGGAAAAATTAATTCAAGATAATTTTCTCTTTTTACTACAAAAATAGTGTTTATTTGCTCAAATGACAATTTGGTCTCTGAAAATAATGGAAATATTTGAGGTGAACAAAGTTATTTCTACTCTTTTGTTATTTCTGATGATCATGGAAGAAATTTACTAATGGGTGGTATAAATGTGATCGTGGCAGGTGCCTTAGGGAAATACAGTTATTTTGCTAAAAGCAACCTTCCAACAAGTGTGAGGAAGATGCTTCAGAGATCAAAAAAGCCAGGAAGAAGAAAACTCAAGACTGTTAGACATACACCTCGGGAAACATACCTCAGACTACTTCAGTAACACCGAAGTGTTGTCCAATGTGAACTAATGCATTGTTAGATTTCTATTATTTTTAAAATGATATTTTTATCCTCACATTATTTTAACTTAGGAGATGCTAACACCCAAGGAGGTACAAATAGGTTGTAATTATACTGTAGTCAGAACCATATCCAGCTTACCCAAAGTCTATTGTGTGAACTCCATGTACAATTATTCTAGTTATCTACTGCAAGTAATGAAAAAATGATTTGAATGAAAATTGATTACTTTTCAAACTCTGTCACCTACTAGGTGCTGTCAAGGATGTCCACTCATGAGCAAAGTATTCCAGTGACCATGTTTTATATTATTAGCATCAAAATCATTAAGCGTATGAAATAATTCCCTCCCCTCATATACCCTCTCATGTGCTTTGCTCCTAGATAGCTCTAAATTTTGAATCTGAATTTTACTTTTATTTGAATGATTATTACAGATGACGACTCTAACTGGACTCTAAATTGTTCAAGGACCATGACTATTTCTTAGAAATCATTTTATCTCCAGTGTCTGGCATAGGTACTTAAGCAGTAGATCCTCAATAAATATTCACTGAATGAGTAAGTGAAAAAATTGAATAGGTAAGCTAAGTTTTTACCTCTGAGAATTATAAAAATATTAATACTAAAGAATTAATTTTTTAGCTTGTTGAGTTATCTTCTATGTAATGGCCAGTGGGAATATTGAGTTCCATCAATATGATAATGAAAGTTGAGTTACTGTATTTTATTAAATGAATGAATTGATTGTAAACATTATAAAGTCTCACAGAAATTTATTTTATATCGGAGAAACTTGCTGATATATTTTCAACATTGTTTGCTTAGGAATATTGACAGAATGCTGTAAGGATAGAAACTCAGCATTTTAGGAAAGTAAAACTTCTTCAGAGGAGACAGAAACAAGTTAGAAAATTATTTGTAAGAAAATATTTCTATAAGAATGAACATTCCAGGAGCCAGCATGTGGCACAGCAGGTTAAACTTCTGCTTGCCATGCCGGATTCCATATTGGAGCACCAGTTTGAGTCCTGGATACTCAGCCTCCAATCCAGCTCCCTGCTATTGTAGCTGGAGAAATAGTGAATGAAGACTCAAGTGCTTGGGCCCCTCCCACCCATGTGGGAGACCAGGAAGGAGTTCCTGGTTCTTGGCTTTAGCCTGGCCCATACCAGGCCATTTGGGGAATAAACCAGCAGAAGGAAGATCTTTTTCTCTTTGTCTCTTCCCCTCTCTTCCTTTCTCTCTGTAATTCTGCCTTTCAAATAAATAAAAAAATAAATAAATCTTTTTAAAATAAAATTAAAAAATAAATTAAGTCACACCTGATTTAAAAAAATTTTTTTGACAGGCAGAGTTAGACAGAGACAGAGAGAAAGGTCTTCCTTCCATTGGTTCACCCCCCAAATGGCCACTACGGCTGGCACACAGCGCCTATCCAAAGCCAGGAGCCTGGCGATTCCTCTTGGTCTCTGATGCGGGTGCAGGGCCCAAAGACTTGGGCCATCCTCCACCGTCTTCCCGGGCCACAGCAGAGAGCTGGATTGGAAGAGGAGCAACAGGGACAGAATCCGGCGCCCCAACCGGAACTAGAACCCGGGGTGCTGGCACTGCAGGCGGAGGATTAGCCTAGTGAACCGTGGCACTGACCCTGATTTTAAAAATTATATGATGCTTCAAAATGTTACAGCTAGCCTGGGTGATTGCTTCCATCTAAGTCAGTCATAGAACACTAATGCACAAAATATGGAAAAGTTGTGAAAGTACAAGTTTACTAGGAAAATGATTTGCTCATGGAGAGCGAATAATACTGTATAATTCTTAGGAATAATCAATAAGCTAATCAATCATACAATCAGAAATTATGGCATTGTAGTGACCTTAGCTCTAGTTCATGCTGTTTGTGTTCTTATTCTGGAGATGTAAAAATTGGTATCCATGGTCTTCTCTTCACTGTATGTTTTCCTACATCACACTCGTCCAAGGAAAATGCCTTCCTGGTTATATAACTGAATTATTCTTCGTGCTAGATACTACCTAGAGAGCAATATCTATTTCTTTTTTATTTTATTTGAGAAGCAGAGAAACAGAGAGAGGCAAACAGACAGAAATCTTCCATCCACTGGTTCACTCCCCAAATATTCACAACAGCCAGGGCTGGGCCAGGGTTAAAAGAATGTGTTCAGTGTGAAAAAACTCTGAGTGTTAAGTATAGAAAAGACATTTTCTTGGTCTTTTAAAAATCTTTCTTTCTCTCCCAGCATTTGTCAAAAGTATTTGAAGTTCATTCAGTCCACTCGGGCTACATTTTGAAACCAGTTCATGGAAATTTGAGCAGACAGTATCATTAACATTAGTGCAATTCCTTAGGCAAAATTCCCCCACACTGGGTTGGCTCAGTGTTAACCCTCAGTAAGAGATTAGATTTTTACCAGATATTTAGATGATACTCAATCCTTTTATTAACAAAGAAATCCTAAGTGCTCTTTCAGTCACAGAATTCCATTTAGCCACAGAAAGCAGAAAAGAACAACTGCTGGATTTGAAGGCCAGATCCATGTTTTTGTGAATGCTCTCCCCCGCAATGACTCATGTATTTTCTGCTTTTTTCAATGGTCTTTTAGGCACAGCACTTGTTGTCCAGTGGGACCATGTACATCTCCAGGATAATTACAACCTGGGAAGCTTCACGTTCCAGGCAACCCTTCTCATGGACGGACGCATCATCTTTGGATACAAAGAAGTAGGTGGTGTGTTAGTGATCATTTCCCTCCACCTTGACCCTGACCGCTGCCCTTTTATTCAAGTGTCAAGAATGAGATAATTTAGTTGTGAACCTCTAATTATTTTCTCATCTCTTGGTTTCTTTTGCTTAATAATAAAAAAAAAGTTTCCTTTTTAATCTTCTGGATAACACTGATTAGTAATTCTTTGAGTTTGCTTTTGGTTTTATATTTTGCTATTATTGGCATAACCTATGAATTCCTTGAAATTATTGAATGATTGTTTTTTGGTGGTGTTAACAGTGTTTTTTCTAAGAAAAAAAGTGTTTGACCTGGAGGGATTTTTCTTCATTTACATTTAAACATCTATATTTGTATTTCTTTGGTTTGTTTGCTTTTTGCCTTGTTGATTTCTTGACTTTTTTTGGTTATAATTCCAGAAGCAGTAGTGAACATGAAAGCTGTTGTAGTTCAGTGACCAGTACCAAAAGAGTTGTAGGACAGCTGAGCCCATAACCCCTTTGCCTGATGCTTCCTGAAACCTGGGAGGAAAGAGTAATTAGAGACCTAAGTGAGAAAAAGAACAAGGACATTTAAACTTAAGGTTGTTGCATTTTAACAAATAGACCAAAAAATGAATATTTACTAAATGGTAGCCTCAAATTTACAGACCATTTAGAGTAGGATAATAGCATGGTTGATTTCAAATTCTTCCAACAATGTAATTAAGATCTATTAGGCCGGCGCCGCGGCTCACTAGGCTAATCCTCCGCCTTGCGGCGCCGGCACACCAGGTTCTAGTCCCGGTCGGGGCGCCGGATTCTGTCCCGGTTGCCCCTCTTCCAGGCCAGCTCTCTGATGTGGCCAGGTAGTACAGTGAAGGATGGCCCAAGTGGTTGTGCCCTGCACCCCATGGGAGACCAGGGGAAGTACCTGGCTCCTGCCATCGGATCAGCGCGGTGCGCCGGCTGCAGTGCACTGGCCGCGGCGGCCATTTGAGGGTGAACCAACGGAAAAAGGAAGACCTTTCTCTCTGTCTCTCTCTCTCACTGTCCACTCTGCCTGTCAAAAAAAAAAAAAATCTATTAGACAGTGAATAAGGAAATAAAATTCCAAGAACCACAGATGTAATATTTTAGGGCAGTCACAAGCAATGTAAATTAATAACTGGCATTATTAACTTGTGAATTAATGGGTGTTTTGAATAATACAGACTTCATATTTTCCCAATTGAGGGATTACTTTTCCCTTAGGAAATGAATCCCCAATTATATAAAAGGATGTCTATAATAAAGAAAGGGTTCACTTTGGTCAAATCTTCTGAAATCTATCCCCACAGGATAAAGAATAGCTACATTTCATTAAGCTTTTAAAAAACCCCATAACCATGTCAGATGCTTGTACTTCTTGAAGGAGATTTTCCACGTGGAATATGTTGTTTCCTTGGGGAATAATGCAAACAGAATATGGGATGTGTCTCGTCCTGTGTTTCTTTACTCAAAGCTGTGTTTTGCAGTCTTGGCCCACAATGTTCTGTCACACTCCCTGGATGTTAAAAGAACATTTCTCAAAACGACTCATTCATTTCTAGTTGTCACTGTAGTCTCGTGTGTTGCTGGCCCTGCACAGTACCGCCTTTGGAATGTTAGCTTATAACGGTTTCAACCAACAGTGGTAAAGTGTCTGGAAAGATCAAGCTCAGGAAGTTTAAAGTCTCAGATCTCACTAACTGTAGGCTTTGTCAAAACAGATGTTTGTGTTCTTGTGGTCTTTTTCCCTAGTCTTTATTATCAAAATCGCTGTCTTCATTTCTACGGTTCTCAAGGGATGTCTCACATTGCAGAGAAACAATTGTTCCTGTTTTCCCTGAGTCTTTGGTTGGTACTTTTTAATATTTTTGTTTTTCTTAATTCTATAAAAATTTTCTATTATGATTTTCCTCTTTTATTAAGGGAAATATTAAGTTGACAGGCAATTTTAATGCTGCCTGAATATTCTTAGACTAATGTTGAACATCTTCTCTCTGTCCTCAAAAAGGTCATTCTTTATTCCTTGCCTCCTCTCCTTTCTGTCTTTTAAAAAAATTTATTTTATTATTTTCGTGTCTACTTGAAAGGCACAGCAACAGAAAGACAGAGAGATCTTCCATCTGCTGGTTCACTCCCCAAACGCCCACAACAGCTAGGGCTGAAATCAGGACAAGGAACTCCATGCTGGTCTTCTACACGGGCAGCAGGGACCCAAGATATTGAGCCCATCATCCCCTGCCTCAAGGCTGCATGAGCAAGCAGTGAAAGGGCCAGGACTCAAACCTGCATTCTCACATGGGATCTAGGTGTCCAAAGCATTGGCGTAACTAGCTACATCCCAATGCCCACTCATCTTGTTCTGTTTGGAAAGTGATCTCCTCTTTCCTTTTCTACCTTTTTTCCCTTGATAATGATTATACATGTTATTTTGCTGATACAAATTTCTGTTTGTGAAAATGTCCTAAGTAAGAGTTCCTTTGCTTTGAGACTGAGAACTAAATATTCCTGGCACCTCGAGAAACATATTTATAACTGCCTGGTAGCATAAAGCAGTAGTCTGCATAATACATTATCCTTCACAAAGTACTTTTGCATATATTAGTGGTGTTTAAATCTTCAACAGTCTTCCGCATTGGCAATATTCTTAGCAGTTCACAAAAGCATGAGTACACTGAAGATTTTCAATAAATGTTTGTGGTGGCTTAATTATAGAATTAGATCATACATGATGATCCCTATTTCATAGCTCAGCAGGCTGAGTCAGAGAGATTAAATGGCATGCTTGGGGGTATAGAGCTAGTCAAGCACAAATTTTGGACTAAGAACCTTCATTTGGTGATCCCAAAGCATTTCACACTTTTTTTTTTCTTTCCCAACCAAGTTATAGATAACAATTCACTGATCTGTTTCATTTTTTTTTTCAGCAAATCCTTGTGAATATTTACTGTTTAATGACCTCTTTTAGCTTCATCAAATTAATTACACAAATGCAGGTGTAGTCAGGAAAATATTCATAGTTAACATCATAAGCAAAGTATAAGAATTTAATGCAAGAAGTGAAACTTTACGTTCCTATCCAGACGAAACAGAACTAAGTTGTTACTAGAACATTAAGTGTGGCTCCTTCCTGAGTTCTTCTATAACGGTAGCGCCAGCTTGTTTGATGTGAATAAAAAAAAAAAAAAAAAAAACTCTTACCCCAAACCCACCAACATGGGAAATAATTAAATTATAGATTAAACTTAGCAATGCATTGAATCCGTTGGCACAGATTTCATTTTCATTGCCCTCATCTGATTTATTAGCATATTTTATTGCTTTTCTCTTAGTAACTCTTGCTGTGCCAATTGCCCCCTGCTAACTACTCGAAGGGCCTCGAGTCCTGTTACACTCTGTATATGGTCTTTTCTCCAATAATGTAATTTTTCATAGTACAAACTAGATCAAGAAAAATCAGTACATTAGAAGAAAGCCCTTTGCACTTCTCAAGCAGTCCTTCTTGTGATGGGATTGAGGTGGGGAAGTTCTCCAGCTGCTTAAGCCAAGAATGGATTCACATGTGTTGCAGCAGCGATATTTTTCAGCAGGATCCAGCAGTTCTCATAAGGCTGAGAGCAACGGTGGAGGCTTAAATTTCCTTAAAGAATTAAGTTATATTTCCTGAGGTTATACCTCTGTATAATTCTACTAGATATTTGAAATTCTTTTTTAAGTTATAGGCCCTTTTTATTACAGCTATTTATTTGTTAGGATTGAAAATATAGTTTACTTAGGATGAAATAAAGGTAGAGAAAGAAAAAAATGTTTTTTAATTTTCTCTTAATTTTCCAACTGTTCACTTTAATGGATTTTTAAATTTTAGTGTAGCCATTTGTTTCTTTTATTAATTAAGTTATGGATTTAATTGCCTGATGAAATTAGCCAATTTTTTTTCATTTACTTGCTTGACCATACTAATAACAGCTTTTTAAAAAGCTGTTGGCTAGAAACTCTAATTTCTAGAATTTCCTGTGAGTCTGTTCCATTTTCTTTTTTAAAGTTTATTTTGTGTATTTCAAAGGCAAAGTTGCAGAGAGCGAGGGAGAGACAGAGATAAAGAGATCTTCCATCGGCTGGTTCACTCCCCAGATGGCTGCAACTGGGCTGGGCCAGGCCAAAGCCAGGAGCCTGGGACTCCATCCGGGTCTCTCATGTGGGTAGCAGGGTCCCAACTACTTGGGCCATCTTTTACTGCTTTCCCAGGTTCATTAGCAAGGAGCTGGATTGGAAGCAAAACAACCAGGACCCAATCAGCACTCTGATATGGGCTTCCACCATTGCAGACAGCAACTTAACCCTCTGTGTCACCACACCGGCCCCCTGTGAGTCTATTTCTATTATCTAGTTTTTGTTTTTGTTTTTGTTTTTCTTCTCTAGGTTTTCATTCATTGGTCATCTCTTCTTACATGCTAGGTAATTTTGATCAAATGCTTGACATTGTTTACAAGTTACTAGAGAAATCCTCTGAGGTTGTAGATATGTTTTCTTCCTCTGAAGAGAGCTTACTTTCTTGGTTTAGCATCTGGGATGGAACATACAACTTTAATACTGTGTGGGGCTAAGCTCAGAGTTCCACATCAGTCCTTGTCAAGACTGATAAATTTCTGATTAGCCCCAGCTCTTGCAGGGTGAGCTTTCAGGGATCTCCACTGAAGACCTGGGTACTTCCATGGACCCTCAGCCTTCATATCTCTGAATGCCTATATTTTTCTTCAGCTGGGTGAGACAGCCCCAAGTTCTAGTCACCTTCTCTGTCTCTAACCCTCATTTATGCATTGGCAGGTGCCTCAGTGGTTTCATGTCCGTGATCCCCTTCCTCTGGGATCTTTGCTTTTTTGAGTTCTTGCTGTTTGATAACCACCTAATACCTTCAATGGGTGCTTTTCAGATTTGATCCAGCTTTCTTGCTTGATTTTATGTCTTTGAAAGGCAGAGCAAGACACAGACAGACA